ACAAGCGGCCATTGTCTTGATTCTTCTAAGACTTATAAAAGCCGAAGCAATGAAGCAGCGAAGCAAAAAGGCAACGAGGAGTAGGCGATTCAAGCATCGGCTGTCGCTGTGGCACGAAGCGCGGTTTGTTCATCTTTTTGAGGTGCAATCAAGAGCCCTACAACGCTTTGTGCTCTCGCGCGCTGCTCCAGTTAGGCCCTTCGTATTTGAACTGTATTCTTTTCCGGTTGCTCCACATCTTTTTCATTACATACCATCCGCGCGATACAAAACACACAAAACACACTTCTTCTATTCTCACTATCGCCGCGCTCATCTATTATCCTCTCCGGCGAGCGTTGTTGTTATTTCATTAACGTTCCACCAGCACCACCAACATCGATATTTTCAAAAATATGTTATTAATTATTTTCAGCTGCATTGCGACAAAAATAAGTTACAAATGTAACGGTTAAGTTCCTGCGCAGCGAGCAGGACTAGTTCACAGACAGATAAAATAAATGGTGCTGATATGGGAGCATTTTTCAGCGGGCGATTAACGTACTGCTCTATCGAAGCTTCCAGCGCGCAATTAATTCACTGCCAATAATGCGTAATCCTTCGATGCATTAATCACCACCACCACCGGCAGTGAAATTATTTCATTTATTGCCGTTTAAATAAGTCGGACTTGAGAATGAAGGCAATATAAATGCAAAACACGCAGGAGCAGATATTTTCAATTTCGGATTAATATACAACGCATTAAGTCACCAAATGGATATAATACGGTGAATACATTACACATTACACGATATAGTGGAGGCGCCGGGCGCGGCGCGGGAAATAGTTTCAGTCTGTCGCTGCTATACGTGAATTATAGACTGTAGAGAAATGTTTGTATTAGTATTCTATGCGGCACAAGCCACAAGAACAAGAACTATATAGTAAACGATAAAAACAGGCGCCTCCACCAAAAATTTAATTTTACTGAAGAAAATTGGTCTGATTATTTACACTGGAAACTTTTGTTGAAAAAACTTAGGTTGAAAGTTAAAAAAACGCGATAAATTTCCCGATTCAATATTGATATGAAAGCGTCGTAGATAAAAAGTTGGAAACTTAGGAATTAACCGAAGCCGCGTGCGCCATACTTCTTCTTCGGTACGACTTTCTTCTATAAGTTGTAATCCGAATACTAAACAGACACCAGATGCTTGATTGCGAGTGCTTTCGGAGAGTTTTCCAAAGCGTTTCTTGCTCTCATTTTTCACACAAATAAAATACCAATTCATTGATAGGGACAAAATTCCGCAAGCGAAACAATGTAATAAATTCGAAATATTTTGCGAATACTCCACGCGAGATTAGGACCTAAATCTAAATTTCGCGCATAACCTATTTCCGGCCGGCCCTCGCGCGCGCGAGTTGTGAGAATAGTTGCGCAAAAACTTTTTATGCGCTCCTACACGCGCAGAAGAAGTATGGAAACACGTCCAAGTTTGGCGTGCACTTCGCATTGCTCGTAGAAAATAGATCAAGCGCGCCTGGGACTATAAAGTTTCTTGATTGTAAAGAACTTCAGTGTGCAAGGGTGGAAAGAGCAGCGGAAAGGGCCGGAGGAAAAGTGGCGAGTCATGCTGTGGGTACTAAACATACGGGCATCTGTCAGCGGAATATTCATCAATTCGTTTTCGACGTGCGGTGCGGAAAGAAGCATACTTCTCTCACTCAGAGAGAAGAAAAAAAAACAGAGAATTGGTTTTCGCAAATACATGCAGATAACCACTTCCAAAACAAAAAAAATAAAAAATAAAAAGAATGACGAACAGATGAGGATTTTAAAGAAATGACCATAAAAGTTTTTTTTTTCTTTTGGGGTAAAAATTTGTTATTTTTAAATGCAAAAGACATAAAGATTTGTGAAAGAGTTTATAGACCGGAATGCTTTTATCTTACCGCGAAGAGTGGAAGCGAAAGAAATTTGTAAGATTACAGATCATGCATATAGACCACCTGACTCGGAAAATGGCAACGAATTCTTATTATTATTATAAATTATGGCCCGAGTTCGCGGTTATGACGCGGTTTAAAGTTCGGATTTATGGCTTGGTGAGCAGGGACGAACGCAAAGTATGCGAACACTGCTTTTCCGCGCGGAGAGGAGAGAGCTGCCACCGCCGCCAGCCGAAAACTCGCGTATTTACAGTGACTTTACTTCTTCGTCCCTAATAAATTATTATCAAGGCAAGCAAGGACAAATAAGCGCGCACACTAGTCGCTCACGCGCGTATATTAGTTGTTGTCAAGTAAACATTATTCAGAAAACACCCCCAAGGAGTTTGTTTTTTGCGCGCACTCCTTTTCCAAAAACACACTACACCCGATATAATAAATAATTCCACCAACTTACAAATGTATTTAGCCTATACGCGAGTGCGAGAATATTTAGTAAAACGCTCGAATAACAACAGGGAGAAAACGGCTGCCGGGGTGTCAACTTTGGCCTTGTGTGGATGAGAAGCACAGAGCAGGAGAAGAAGAAAAAAGCGACGATAAAAAAGAAGTCGACCTGAGCAGCAGCGCTCGGCGAATATTTTTATAATAAAAACCGTCAGGGATAAAGTCGTTGTTTACGATGGAAGGCCAAAACTTTTTCACCAGCGCACAAGGAGCGCAAAGTTATGGCGATAACGCGACGTTATTGCCGACACACCGTGCGCGCGCCCCGAAAATAGGAGTTTGGCGCGACGCGGGGGCAAAACGTTCGCCACGGCTGGCATTAATTCTTAAAAATGTGCACCGAGAGGAAAAAAATACATTATACATGCACATTCGATGATTATTCACTGGATAATTTGAAAAATTACCAAAATAGTAAATTTAATATCAAGTGCGCTAAGTGGCACTTTAACAACGTTTAGCGCACTCTATTAAACACGTTTATTTCTAGTATTTAAACTTTTTTACCTTAAAACTCCACCCTGTGACTAAAAACCGTGACTAAAGTATTTTAGTCACAGCCATGGTTAAAATTACACTTTTCGTGTTTGGAAACCGTGAAAAAAGTGCAATTTTAAAGGTGGAATTATAAAAAATAAAATAAAATACGTACAACTTTATTAACCCGCCGCCTCGAAATGATAAACGACGAGTATCACCATTACAATAAAGCTTTTCGGCTGTAACTGTAGACGAAGTGCTCGGGCGTAGCGACATCCGAATCGTTAAATGTTGATTTTCGCACCCCGGGCCGTCACCGCTGACGAGAAGGAATAAAAACAAGCATAACTGTGACGCGTGCGAGACAAACGCGAATCGTGTGCGCGCGTACAAAAGAAGCGCTCCGGCGAATTGTCCTTTTGCGTTTTAGAGCCTCGTACGTTTCCGGGTTTTATTTCGAAACTTTGGCCGAGCGATAAAACTAAAAACGTCCAAACTTGGAGCGCGTTAAACTAAAACGAGCGTTGCCAAAAAGTCCTTAAAACGAGATAAATTATCAGCCGCTCATTCTCTCGATATTCCGCTAAATATATTTGCGCGCGCCGATGCAACCAGACCTCAAGCGCAACTTGAAGAGTATGAAAACAGTCAGCAGAAAAGGTGATGGCGCAGTTGATTATATTGCGTTGTTATCGGCCACTAGAATGTATCGCTGTTTACAAGAGCGGTTGCTGCAGTTCCTGGCACACGAAAGGGCACTTTACGCGCAAGGAGATGGAGCGATTTTCACGCGTTACACCTGAACAAATGCCCAAAACGAAATTGAGCTGGCGGTGGCGTCGAGGGCCGTAAATGTATCCACTCGTAAAATCCACTCACGCTGTATTTATCTAGACCGTGGTGGAACTATTAAAAATATTTAACAAACCGGCGAAGAAAACAAAAACATTCGCGGCGCACAACAATAGCAGCAAGATTTCGTTTATACGACCAGCAAAGATAAGAAAAGTGCGCAAATTATGAAAACGGCAAAAAGATAACGAAAAACGCCACCGCGAGAGCAGCGAAAACTTGCCTGATCCAGCGCACATCTCTTCATGTAAACTTTTCATAAAATTCAGCGAATCATTTTTGTTGGTTTGAAAAGTTTCCAAGTCGACTTTATGTCCGTAAACTTTTCATCGGGCAAGTGAACACACTGCAACCAAAGTAGCCAAGTATCCAAGCGCGAAAGAATGGCGCGACGTCTGAAAATTCGTCGAAACGAAATTTTACGTTTCTTTCGGAATCCAGTCGAAAGCGTTGAATAGCTTAGTGGGATAAACTTTAAACCCATCTACCGATTGGCCAACGCAGATAATGGTACATTTTATCGAATAAAATGCTTCATAAACTCGGTTATTACCGTATTTGTGCGCTGCCCAAAGTACGCCACTAGTTTTTATTGTGCTACGCCTCATTCAACGGTAACGACAGCGACGGCAGGCAGTATGTCACAACAACAATCTCCTGTTTTGACACAATACTTTTGCATTATTCCGCATTCGACCACTTATCTCCAGCGACAATAATAGTTTCTCCCGAATAGATTTCGCTTCCGGCCGTTAACCGTATTTCTTGCGCTCAAGAACACCACCGCGGTAAATCATCCCAACACCGGGGGAGCGGTTGGTGGCAGTGGTGGCGGCAGGCCCCCTGCCGTTTGCGTCCGCGTTTCTCTTTTTCGCAAGACGCCGACTCCGACGACGACGACGCTTTGCGCACTTAATAAAATAATTTATACGCGGGCGTGTTGGATGCGCGCATGCAGAATAGTACCAGATCCGGGCCGAAATAAAAGACAAGCGCTCGCGCGCGCACCCGTCGACATGAAATATCAAGCGAATTTGCGTACATAATGCAGATATGTGCACGCGTTCAATATATATGAACCGTGCCAGCATTATAATGCACTACCAGCAGCATCGTGAGATGCGTCGTTATGCAAAACACGACGGCGCGCCATAGAAAGCAGTTTGAGCGCATCGCAGATCGCAGAAAACGTGAAAAAAAAATAAAACACAATCACAAAGTCGTACCTGGGATTTCCACGCAGGGCGGCGTGATGCAGCGCATTAAATCCGTTGTTGTTCGTCAGGGTGATGTCAGCGGTGTGATCCAGCAGCAGTGTCAGCATATCGTCCCTCTTCTTTGATATTGCATCATGCAGTGGGGTATCACCTTCAGAATCCTGGAAAAATAGAATATTTTACATTAAAATTATTTATTCAATGAAATTTGAGTCAAAAAACATCAGAAACATCAATTTAAGCATAAAACTCAAGAGTGACGTCACTACCCCCACCAAAAACCAATAAAATTTAATGAAAAATTACAGCTACAACCAATTCTGTCATATTTTGTTGAAATTTATTTTATTTTCACGAATTTAGACCAATAATCGCCTATTATTCCAATTTATTAACTCAATAATGACGTCACAAACAAAATAACAACCCAAAAAATAATTTTTACCAACAAATTCAAAGAAAATATCTCTTAAAACCCTTTAAAACACTTTTAATTAAAATAAATTTATTACCTACACATCAATACCTCAAACTAGGTTATAGTTGAGTTGGTGTCAAGATAGGCAACACAATAGCCTCGCACACACCTAGAGCTATATGCTGCTGTTTGCCTACGCTTCGCCACCTTGGCTACTAATTAAATTAGCAGCTTAGCGGCTCATTTGCTAATTGACGCCGGCTTGTTATAATAAATCTGATAATGTAAGCGACCCAGTGCGCATCTCGCAGATTTATCGCCCCCTGTATGCGCATGTAAGGGGGCGGCGAATGGTAATCTGATGCGTAAATATGTGTCACCGCATGACAGGCGCACAACCCTTTAATAAATCGACGAAAATACTCATAGAATTATAAAATACAATAACTAGTTATGTTAATATGATACGTGTGCGCTTGCACAACAGTGTAATGGCAATTAATTAAACTCGGGGAGTGTGCGATTACAATAACACCGCGAGTTCGAAAATTAATTGCGGTTTAGTGGCAATACTCGTAGTTTGCAGAGCGCGCGGCGTGCACCATAACGACTTTCGGCTTATCGGCTGCAAGAAGTAAAATATACGCAACATATTGCAGCAAAATAACACCAAACACATCGCAGTATAATTACCAAAGTTGTATTGTATGTATATTGCGTGTTTTTTTGTGTGGCGGGAAAATAAAATTCGTATAATTAACGCGGTGGAAATGAGTTTCCTTTAGTAATATTTAAAATTTAATTTGCACGTCTAAACTGAAGCTAAACCGTTTTGACAAGATAACTACGCAGGCCGCCTCCGTTGTGGGCATTAACTGGGCAACATGTGTCGGTGGAGGCAGCAGCGCGCGGGGGGTTTGTTGAAGCACCTGCGCTATGCAAACGAATTCCCCGAAAGTCAACAATGTTTTGCATACGAATACCGCGCCCCACATTATGTTTCCATTTCGCAATTCGTCCGGTAAATACGCGCGCACTTTTGTTTGTTTAAATTCGAAATTATTTAAATTCATCTCCTGATGATATTGATACGCATGTAATTTTGGTAGTTTTGGTATAAAGTGCAGAAATTACAGTAATTTGTCATTCTGATTCAGTTCGTACAATAATATTCTCGAGGGAGGCGGCGGCGGGGTGTGCGCCGTTTCTACACTGGCGCGCTTGCACGGACGAGTTAAGTCGGCCGCAATTTCGCACCGACGACGTCGGACGGCATTCCTATTCATGCGCCATCCTCGGATATCCTTATGGCCCTCTTGGGGTGACTCGGTCGTGGCCCACCCCCGGGGGTCTGCGCGCGTTCTATGTGTAAGTATGTGGGGCTCGTTTACACTCGGCGGAATATATGCAGAATCGCGACATCAAATGTGAATCAAGCCAATGCTTTGACTTGCCGTACAAGTACCGAACATACAAAAATACCATGAAAAACTTTAAAAACTTAAATTTTCTATGCGTATTTTTCATCGTTTGACAGGCATCCATTTAGAAAACGTATCTTTGACACAAAACAGAATATTATTCGCATTATACGCAGCGATATCTCTTCCTAGAGTTGACTGCTCGTCAAATTCACCTCACCGGCGGACGATTTATCATACAGTATTAAACTTTAAGAATATTAAGTAGTGCTACGTGAGTAACATCACAAACAAACAAAAAACGTGCAAAGATAAAACCTCAGCTGTCAATAAAATAAAATAAAATAAATCTACCTTGCGTAGACAATCCAGAAATAACAAAATATTCCCCTTATGACGTTCGTATGCTTGAATAAATATTAGTTATGCATTCCAATTCGACATGATGAACAGAAATGTAAACGCAGCCCGCAGCGCATCGAATCGGAATAAGAAACTACAGAGTTCCACGTCTCAGCAAGAGGGTGTCGGTCTCCCCCGCGATGGAGAAGAAGAGAAAAGCCTCATTTACATTTCAACATTTCGATCCGAACAACACCTTCGGGCAATTGCTTTATAACTCCTAATATAGTACCCACGAGCGTGCGCGCGCCATAGTGGAAACTCGGCTGGAGTTTCGGGTAGGAAACAGTAATTCGCCCGGGCAAAGTCTAACGAACCACCTATAGCGCCGACCCGCGGCCCTCGAACATTTTCGCTGACTTGGCCTGCCGCTACCCGCCCAGAAGTGCACAATACGCGCCGCCACCAGCAGACGAAAACCAACGCACATACACTTACACATTTACACACAGAAATAGAGAGTTTGCGCAACCCCCCCGACCGAAACGAAGAAGCTCCCAGCTATGGAGATACACTCTGGAGATCTGTTAGTCTTCCCATGCACTCCACTCTTATTTCGAGAGAATATTAAGTAGTCACTCCGCAGAATTATCTGGTGCGCACACAAACCGATTTTCGCAAGGATTGCGCGCGCGCGCGCTAAAGAAAAATATATTACGAATTTGATGCCGCGCTAATTAACTGATGGCTCAAATTTGAAATGCAATTAAACATTCGAGGTCCAAGTTGACAAGTGTAATAAATTAATTATTCCGGCTCGTTTGGGAGCAAATGATAAATGTCGCGATTATTAACGAAAGCGATTCGTTTCGCGTGGAGGCGCCTTTTTCCCGCCCAAGTTTTCCGCCGCCGAAATGCTGATTCAAAGGCGTGCAAAACTGCGCGCACTGTTTGAAAACGCGCTATAAAGAACAACTTACATTTCTTGGCTTGACATATACCCCTTGGACATTGAAAAAATGGTAATAACTTCATCAAAATAACAAAAAAATCAAAAAATGTTAAAAATTCACAAATTTTAAGAAAAAATTATTTTTTTGTTTTAAAAATGTCAAATTAAAGTAGAAGTGAAAATGGTATTACTATAATGTCATGGGCGCAAGGTGTACATGTACACAGAGATACTGAAAAGCCAGGATGAGTGAAGAGTTGTCTTGGAAAAGTGGAAAAGCTTATACAAGTGGAAAAGCGGGCGGTGGCGCGCGCGGAAGCCTTGATCCGTCCGGAATCTAATTAAAACCTCTACATTTCACTGTCGCCCTTACTTTCGCACCCTTTCGCGCACATCCCAACTGCACAATGAAATGAACTCGTTCCGACTGCCAACTCTGAGACATTAACTCTTCTTATAATGAGCTTAGCTAAGCTATTCGTCAATTTTAACTTTTATTTTTCTGTATTGCCCGAATGCACTGCACTCAAGTTAAGCAGCAAGACACGACGACGCATTATTGATTGCGCCATGCCCACACGCGGATATTATAAAATTTATTAGCTCGGAAATAAAATCGGATTTTGCGAAATAAAATATACGACGACGTTAATATTGGAAATGCAGCGCGATGTCCGCTATCGGTTCGAGCACGCCTCGAGCGCATCATTCAAGGGGTATTTACCCAATAGTCGGAGAGGGTGCACAGACTTGCAGACTGTATCCAAGCAAATGTGATGTGATTCAAACCAAGATCACAACCACATCACACTTTGACAAGAAAAATGTTTTTCTACTTTTTTCACGGTTTTGAGGCATAAAAAGTGGTATTTTAATCACGGCCATGACTAAAGCACTTTAATCACAGGTTTTAGTTACAGGGAGCAGTTTTAAAATAAAAAAATTAAATACAAAAAAAGGTAAAAATAAAGTGATAGTACAAAAATATCGTGACTAAAGTACCACTTAGCGCACTTGATACTTAAAATACGTTTTTCCCCAAATTTTCGCTAAAAACGCGCGAAAACACTTTGAACAGCGTGTATATGCGATATCCGGTATAATGTCCCACATGGGTGTGCGCGTAATGGCCAAGTTTTGGCTGTGTGCTAAAGAAGTGTCCTTCTAATGTGGTTTACGGTGGCCGCTGCACTATAAAACTGTCTTGTAGATGCTACACTCTTTTATTACGGAACACGTTAAATGGATTTGCTTAATCTATAGCCGTGGATAACTCAACGACCATTATCTTTTGCGCTTTTTCTATCTCTTCCAAAACCGCCCACACACATACACACACACAATGTGTTTCGCGTTCAATTTCTTTACGTCAAACAGAAGCTTTCGGCGATATTTATGTGGCCGACCACACCACGCACTTGGCGAATAAAAGATAAGCATTGCAATAAAAATATTTCCATCAAACGTGAGACGCAATTGCTTAATTATTTCCGTGTTGATGTGTGGGTGTGTGGCAAATTCGTCGCTTGATGGTAAAGTATGGCGGCGTGCACGCCTATGAGATTTTCTAAAATTCCGAAAGGTTTTTCAGTAACTGGCAATAACGCCGAGATAGCCTCGACTGCCTTCGGGATAAAAGGGAGATTGCATCGTTCTGTTGATGTCTGATTAAATTGTTTTCTTGTCTGCCGTTTCTCTCGTTTCCCTTGCCAACTTGCCAACTTTCCACTCGGCGAGTTGGATTTTCGGTCAAAACAAGCGTCAGCGTCAAATCTGCGTTGGCTTTTTTTCCAGAGCGCATCGAAAAAAATCATAATTTCAAAAAATCGCAGTTTTTAAATAAACCAGGCATGTAAAATTGAAAATCCAAGCCGAAAAATTGATTATCAACATTTTAAACTCAATCTGAAGAAAATTAAGAGCAGATTTCCATGGAGTGCCGCAATAACTTACAAACTTGTCCTTCGCGCCTCGTGGAAGAAGGCAGAAAATCTTTCCAAAGAGTATCGTAACAACAATCGCTGCGAA